GTATAGCTGGAAAACTCTCTTTTCATGCAACATCTTTGTTGCAGCACCCAGAATGCAGCTAACAGAAACATGCAGGGGTGCAAAGGAGCTCCAAAGCTCTGCTATAGATGGTGTGGGACTGCTTGAGACTGTACAGTGACAATGCTCGCATTCCACAGGGAGACAGTTGCTGGAGGAGTTGTCCTTGGCACATATGAGTCCTCAACCTCAACAGCACTAGAAAAGATGTTGCCTTTCAGGTCCTAGGCTGCAGGGAGCTCCTGGTGCCTCTTCCTGGGGATGGGGATGATGGTGGGCCCATCTGTGGGAGATCTGTCTCCTTCTGCTTACTGTAATAAGGGGAGTACCTTGCCAGTGGTACCCACTGTTGTGTGGTTAGTGCCAGGAGCCTGACAGTGTAAGTGTTGTGATGTCTGTGTGTCTATAACTTTCTGAACTGCTGTACCAGCATTCTGTCTTATATAAAGTGCTTAATTTTATTTATGTTTAAAGCACACTTCTCAGAATACTGCACGGAGGTCCGTGGAAGGTTATTTATGAGATCTTAGTTAACATCTTTTACTAATGCAGTGCCAGCTGGTTTGCAGCATATTGTTTCTCAAAAGGCTTCTAGGTCTAAAATAAAAAGTGGTAATTGATTTCTTCCAGTGGCCTTGTCTGAGCAATAAGACTAATAATCAGCATGCTGATGCATTGAAGTGACTTGATTGTGTTGTCATGCTCTTCCCATTTTTGACACCAACTATATGTCCTTCAGGTTCAGCATTAATGCGCTTCATGCGGTACTGAAATCTATTGCAATTTCAGCTCTGACATTTTCATATGTGGAAGCTGTCAGTAAACATGAGGAGAGCTCCTAGCTCATATACCAGGATATCTCTAAATGCAGAGCTTGGGGACCTTTTCACAAAATGCCATGCTAGGCATTACTTTTCATTCCAAACAATTACTTCTTGTCACTAGGGATAGAGGGTGGGGTTGAAGAGATGAAATACAGATTTTTAGAAGGTTTCTGAAACTGTTAGTTGCTGGACTTGGTATGTTTGGTATGAGTGAACAAACGACAGAGAAGGCCAGGTAAAAGTCTTTGGAAAAGATGGCACAAGCAAATTAATCTGTATGACAGAGGAAACTTGTTACTGCAACACTTTGGGTACTCTAGTTTAAAGAATATAATATGATGACTAGGTTGTACCTCTGCCACATATCCTGTGCTGTCATTTGCAGAAGGAACATAGCTCATAGTAAGAAGTAGAGTTCACTTAGAAATGTTCAGAATTTAACTGGATGCACCATCCACTCCACATGCATATACATACACACATTCTGTCATGTATGAACATGCATATACACACACATGTGGGCATAACCATATATACATACATTTCAATTTAAGAACAAAAATACTTGATAAATATTTAAAAGGTAAAAAAGAAGTATGGATTCAGTACATGGTATTAATTTTGTATCTTGTTGAATCTACTCAAGGCCTGTGACTTGAGCCACATTTAGTAGTAATTCATGGAACAGTGTGATATGGCAGGCCTTTAAAAACAGGTTCATTGATACTGTTATTTTAATAGCAGCTTAGTTATGATAGGGTCTATTATTTTCTTTAGCATTTTATTTGAAGCTCAGAATTGTCTGTAAGCAATAAAATATAGGAGATAAATGCGTACAGCCTCGCTTACTGTTAAAGCTCTCTAATTTTAAATATTACTGAAGCTTTATAGTTTAACCAAACAAATACAAATCTTGGATAAGATTACTAAACTGCCATGTAAGAGGCAGAGTTTTTGTTTGTTTCAGGTAAAACAGCTAGTTTGTTACATAATTATAACTGGATATCTAAAAGCAAAAAATAGTATGTTGAAAGCAATGTTAACAATGCTTAGCTTCATCCTTTGCAAATACTATAATGATTGTAGTGGAAGGGCATGTAGTGACAAGGGGAATGGCTTTAAACTGAAAGGTAGATTTATGTTAGATATTAGGAAGAAATTCTTCACTATGAGGGTGATGAGGCACTGGCACAGGTTGCTCCATTCCTGGCAGTGTTCAAGGCCAGGTTGGACAGGGCTTTGAACATGTCTAGTGGAAGGTGTCCCTGCCCGTGGCAGGAGGGTTAGAACTAGATGTTCTTTAAGGTCCCTTCCAACTCAAACCAGTCAGTGATTGCATGTGTGCACTATGGTCAAGCCACTGAAAACTACTTCACTTGTCAACTTCATACTGAGGGCTAACAAAAAGAGGGTAAATTTTAACTTGAGTTTCTACATACTTGGGTGTAATGACTTGGATTTAACTCCTGTCTAGTAAATGCCTTATAGAAACAAATTTTTTCCATACCATTTCCTTACTTTTTAGAAGAGTTCAGGAAAATTGTAGGTTACTTAAGGAGCAGTTTTAAGAGAAATGAATCATTAAAATGCCAGGAAATGCACAAAGTACTTAGTATTTCCAGAACTTACTTAGATCTGCATGCATGTTCTTAAACGTTATCACTACCAAAATTCAGTTTGAAAGAACATCAGTGTCATCTCTTACTGGAATCATTGTTCTATATTTTTGGACTCTCTTCAGTATTGAAAAAAAATAAATGTTGGTGCATTAGGCACAGACAGTGCTCACCAAACTCTAAAGAAAAGATTTGATAAATTATAGGACTTCATTAAGCCAGTATCAGGCCAGATCTTGAAATGCATTCACAGAAGCTTGCCTCTGAAGCAAAAAGATGATTTTTGTTGAAAGTTGTACTGTACTGGACATTGTTTCTTCAAGAGGCTTTAAGGTAAACCACTATCTCCAGCTCTCCATCACAATAAACAAGTTCAGTAACTTAGATCAAAAGAAATCTTGAGAACTTGTTCAATAATGCGCTCATAAGAGAAAGTGGTTTTCACTTCAGTTAATTATCCTTGTTGTCTTTTTTCTTTTTTTTAGCCCCTCCCCC